GCATTGCATTTTACAATATCACCGTCCAATTCCAAGTTATGAATTTGAGTTGATATTGTAACTCAGTTTTATGACTTTAGTGTGAATACCGTGTCACCTAGGTCATTATCTCTCCCAGGCCCTGCTTGTGTTTTTATAAACCTGTGTACTGCAGCGATGCCTGTTAAACCTGTGTACAGGCAGCGATGCCTGTTAACATACAAGTGATCCGCCGGCTATAGAGCCGGCGTATCGCTTGTATGGGGTAACGATCGGTGCCCCTCCGCTCTCCCCGCCGTTGTCCCGCTGGTCCCGGGCTCCGCTGTGCCCGGTGCGAGCCCGGGATCAGCATGGTGCCTGTATCAGAGGGAGATCGGTACACGAGCTCCCTCTGGTCCACTCTCCGCTGCAAGAATGTGGAAGTGTTGTATATTACACCACTTCCGCATTCTTGTGTCACTCTCCAGCTTCAGAAGCTGATGGAGCAGATCTGTGCTTCATCAGCTTCTTTTGGGGTCCTAGGTGACATTAGGGGTCTTGGAGACCCCTGATGTCTCCATAAAGAGGACCTGTCACATATTTTGCTATCACATAGGGGGTTTTTATTAGCCCCGTATGTGATAGCAATAAGGTTTAGGAAAAAAAAGGGGGAAAAAATTAAGTCCCCCCCCCCAAAAAAAATGTAAAGTTAAACATAAAAAAGAATTTAAAAAAAAGAAATAATTTTTAAGTCCCCACCCATACATACACGCATGCAACATGCGTCGGCGCATACCTGCAATAACGACGATTGCACACATTACGCCGCACATGTTACATATCGCCGCGAACGTCGCAGTGAGAGCAATCATTCTAGGGCCATCAATCACTGAAGACATTAAACTGATGAGCGGTAAAAGCTTTTAAAGCGTCGCCTATGACCAATTTTGGGGATGGGAGTTTTCTGCGATTTCGCGGGTGCGCGCAATTTTAAAGCTTGACATTTTTGGTGTCTATTTACCCGACGTGACCCCGTCTTTTATATTTTACAAAAAAACTGGGTGATAATAAATGTTTCCTAACACAATGTTAAAAAAAAAAAATTTCAAGATTTTCAGTAATTTTTCCTAATTATAGTAAAAAATAAAAACCGCAGTGGTGATTAAATACCACCAAAAGAAAGCTCTATCTGTCCCCAAAAAATGGTACAAAAATTAATTTCAGTACAGCGTTGTATGTCGGAATAAATGTCAGTCAAAGTACTGCAGCGCTGAATACTGAAAAATGGTCTGGCCAGGAAGAGGGTCTAAACACCTGGTCTTCAAGCGGTTAAACTAGATATATTTAATATTAATAGACTCAAACCTCATTATTGTCACACCCTTCAGAGTGCCCCATTACATTGGTTGTGCCCATCAGAGGGCCCCCTTACATTGTCTTCTAATGTACATTAGGGGCTCTTACATTAATTGTTACACTAATGTAAGGGGGCACTCTGATGGGGACAGCTAATATAAGGGGGCACTCTAATGGGGACAACTGATAATAATTAGTTAAATTCAAAATTAGTTAATTATTAACTGTACTCTTGTGATGCAGGGCACTTGTGACATTATTGGTTGTTAGGACATCAGTGGTCCTAGCAACCGGTGACTGCACTGGGTTATGACTGGCTAGCAGTGGATGTGCTGGCCTCGGGGAGTCTTCGAGGCTGACGCATCCGCTGTCAGCGATTCATAACCCAGCACAGGTGTGTGATCCCAGTCCCGACAGAACTGTCACTCAGTCGTGGTCCATTATTTGGTGGCCGTTGCTTTAGGTGGTTTTATTGTTCCACAAGAATGTGAAGTACATTATTTGTATTGATAAAAACATCATATTTGGTAGTTTATTGGGTACTGTTTGAAATAGAAAGAGGAGGTCTGGGCTTCACAATGGGTGGGGGGTAAAACATAGTGGCCAGGGGATAAAAACAAATTTCACTCCCTGCCTCCCCCTCGTTGATCTCTTCACTGCCGGAGGTGGAAAAGTTTCAAGAGTTCTAGTCGGACCTATTCACTGTTCCCGAGGCAAAGAGAGGGGTTTACTCGGTCATTGCCTTCCTTTACCGGGGCAGTGTCATGGCCTTGGTGGACATGAACAATGTGTACTTACACATCCCCATTTGCCCTGGCCACTATCGTTATCTGCATTTTGCTGTGGGCACACAGCACTTCCAATTTGTTGCACTTCCCTTTGGCCTGTCCTCTTCACCCAGGGTATTCACAAAGGTAATGGCCCCTGCCCTGGCCTTGCTCCAGTCCCAGGGGAATACCATAATGGGGTACTTGGATGATCCCTCTATCGCACAAGCTCTATCTTCCAACATTCAGAGGACGATTCAAACCCTCTGGGACTTTGGTTGGATCCTGAATCTCTATAAGTCAACGCTGGAGCCCTCTCATCACCTGGAGTACCTGGGCCTAGTCTTCGGCATTGCCCTGGCCAGAGTTTTCCTTCCGCAGGAGAAGCTACTGTCTCTTTGTGCTCACATTCGAACCTTAAGAAGCAGGCCAACCATCCGCTTTTGCATATAGGTTCTGGGCCTAATGGCTCCTTCGTGACAGTGCCTTACGCTCAGTTTCACTCCATTCCACTGCAGCTAAACATTCTGTCTGCATTGGGCCTACAGGTTGGGTCCCCGGAATTCTCTATCCAGCAGTCCAGTAAGACCAAGCTTGCCCTGTCCTGGTGGGTTTCTAACTCGGCGTTAGATTCAGGAAGATCTTTCCTGCCGATGTCTTGGAAGGTACTGATGACTGATGCCAGCCTCTCGATATAGGGGGCCTGGTCATCAGAGTCTCACCTTCAGATCAGCATCTTGGAGCTCAGGACAATTCAGGTATCTCCTGAACACTGGACCCCACAGTTGCAGGGTATGCCAACCAGAATCCAGTCTGACAACACCATGGCTGCAGCTTATATCAACCATCATGGAGACTAGAGGTGCACCGAAATAAACATTTCAAAACCGAAATGAAAAAAAAAGGCTGACCGAAACTGTTTTTTTTCTAACTTTTTCACATTTTTTTAAAATATTTTTTTTTATAAACTTTTGTATTTTTTACTTCACTTTTCGGGGCTTCGGGGAAATATTAGGGGTCTAAACAGACCCCTGATATTTCCCTTCTAAAATAGAAAGCGAGATTGAGGACAGAGTCCTCAATGTCTTTTTCTGCAGCCCCTTTTATAAATGAACAGGAATCCTCTATACGGAGTGTTCCTGTTCATTTATAACTTGTGGACATAGTGTGTTTACTATATCCACAATCATGAATGAGCAGGAAGTGATGTAGATCACTCCCATTCATTCATAATTGGTGGCACAGTAAACATACTCTGTCCTCAATTATTTACAAACACTCAGCGATCACTGATCGCTAAGTGTTTGTACCCACTCTCAATCCTGGATCGGCTGTCACAGGAGGCTGAGCGAGCGGTGACTTCTCCCCCGCACAGCTGGCCGACCTCCTGTGACAGCTTTGAGAGCTGTCTCCACCCCCACACCGCTCATGACCTGTCACAGGACGCTGAGTGGTGCGGAGAGGAGCTCACAGTGCTCTCCTCCTCCCGCACCACTCGGTCTCCTGTGACAATTTCTCCCCTCCCCGCAGGGACGCAGAGCTGGGAGGAGAGAGCGAGCGGATTGTACCACTATTTCGGCCAAAAAATAGCACTTTCTGCATTTAGCCAAAAGTGCCATTTTCAGCCAATAAGTTTAGGCAGCCGAAATATCGGTGCATCCCTAATGGAGACACCAGAAACTCCTCTGCTCAAAACAGGCTTAATTCGGTATTGAACAGAACTCTACATTTCCAGTTCTGTCCGCCATGCACATTCCAGGCATTAAAAATTGGCAGGCAGACTATCTCGCCTGTCACCGTCTGGACCCTAGAGAGTGGTCCCTCCACCTGGAGGTGTTTCGAGCCATGTGTCAGGGGTGGGAGATGCCAGACATGAACCTCCTGGTGTCTAAGTTCAAAAACATACTGGACAGATGTGTTGCCGGGATCAGGGATTTCTGGGCATTTTCTGTAGTGGCTTTGGTGACTTCATGAGATCAGTTCAGTCTGATCGAGGCCTTCCCTCCTTTGAAGCTATTGCCTTGCACGATTGAGACAGAGGGCATCCTGGTAAGTCCCTTTGCTCCCAACTAGCCCAGGAATCCATGGTTTTGGATAGAGTAAGCAAGGGTTATAACCAGGTCAACTTTTTTTGTGGTGTCCAACTGGGGATATTTGCTTTTACTTCCTGTCTTATATCCACAACAGGAAGTGAGAGGAAATCCCTGCAAACCGAGGGAAATCCCTGGTGGTCAGCAGGGTCACCAGAACTAGTGTCCCTATTGGATGATTTCCCATCTATTTGTGTTGTGAGAGCAGCTGCAGGCACCTTTACACTTTAAAGTTACTAATTGAAGTAGACACTGAAATACACTTTACCTTTACTCTTCTTTAACTTAAAATTGCACCCCATCGCTTTGTATATATTATGGTAGTAGCTGTTCTCCTACACTGCGTGTGACTATACAGAGCAGGGAAGAGTTTTTAGTGGGTGGTTGGACATTTCTACAATGTATTGAAAACCTACTAAGCCTTTAGTTTTCAAACAATTAAAACTCTGTTTACCTGGCTCTATGATGGCAACTTTATGTATTTGTGAAAGTCATAATTAAATCAGTGCTTAATTATTGCAAGTTAGTGACTCACAAAGCATTGAAGACATTGGATTATCATGACACCCAGGCAACCAGTATTTTCAGCAATAAAAGCCACCACTACCGGTTTCCTTAACTTAAGAGTAGCTTAAGTCCAAACTAAATATTTACAGTATATGGTATTTGCCATTGAAAAGGTCTCATCTGAGCCTGTGCAGATGGATATTGTAACTTGTTATGAACACGCATATCCACCTACCATACTGCAGCATTGTCAACTATCTAGTTATTGTTTCTGTAGAACAAAATGAAAGTTTACACATTCCTCTCTCTATTACTTTTTCAGGTCAATGAGCGGATACTCAACAGACTCCATCAAGTGCAGAAAATAATGAGAAGGCTGAAGCAAGAGAGGAGGTATTTAAATCTCTTGAAGCACTCCTGTCACATTGTAATGCAGAATAAATTCATAACACAGATGCAAAGCAGGAATCTGCTGGTGCCATTCATTGATTCACAATGATTTAGTGAATTATTGATGCACGAGAGCTCTGTATCTGATTTTGTTTGTAACTGGCTTAATTAACCTTTCTCCTTTTTGCAAATTCAAATGCACAAATGGCAAATTACCATTCATGCACCTGCCTGTCCCCCAATAATGTCCCTTTACAGCTCCATAAACTTCATATGCAATTGCTCAACAGTAGCACTGATCGAATAAAAACATTTATCTGACCATTTGCTAAATGTGTTTTAAATTAATATTTTTCACAGTTTCTGTTTTATATTTTTGCAAAACTGTCTCAGGTGTGACAAATGCATGCATAGACTATAGGAAATATTTTGTATATTCTTTATTTCAAATTTTTCAAGTGAATAGCAAACACGTACTGAGAATGGCAACATGTAGGATGGCACAACCATGTACGTTCAAGTGGTACAACACAATATCACATGTAAATGTTAACACATACATATTGCATAGGAAGCTTTACGTAACAACACAAGAGAGAGGAGAGAAAATGGGGGTTTTTTTTGGCTGGCAGAGTGACAAATCCAATAGACTTCACAACATGAGTAAATATAAAAATGAAAAATGTATTTGTCAAAACATCTTATTAAAAGGGGACATTGGACAAGTGATTAAAATATATAAAGAGAGCTCGCCCTTTAGAGGGAACCTCCTAATAACCCCCTTGGGGTCCCGCAGATGAGGTTCAAATATGCATAAACGGGATATATAGATAACAAATGCTAAGCATCCGTTGAGTACGCACTGAGGGGACCACCTCCTACTCCTGAAGAAGCGCCCTTGAGCCTTACCAGCATCGCTTGACTCCTACTGTCAATGCTACCCTACTACCCACCTTGTTTGTTCCACTACAGGGTTCATCCTTTCGATTTATGTATTATTGAGATTAGCTTTTTTTTTTTAGATTAGCTTAGGTTCCCAGAAAAAAGGGCCATGCCAATGGAGGTGTTACTAAGTACCCAAACGTTTGCATGTCACATTTTATTTTTCACCCCATTTGTGCATTTGAAGTTGCAAAAGGGATAAACATTAATTAAGCCAGTTACAAACAAAATCAGATACAGAGCTATCACGCATCAATAATTCACTAAATCAGTGTGAATCAACAAAGTAAATGAAATTGAACGCATGGAGGATCTAATCTCCTTGAGCAGGGGTACATATTACAAATTTTGGAGGGCTTGGTTTTACTAGAAAAACTTCTCTGCCACACCCTCCTGCTCAATGCTGGTTATGATTTAAAGTTTGGATGGATGGATGGTTCGTCCCTGCCCCGATGATCCCATCCCCTATTTTTTTTCTTCCGTTTGCTCCACACTTTCACCCCTTTCTTCCCCTTTTTAGATAGACTGACAGGAGATTAACCAGATCCAATTTATCCCATCGAAGAAAGTCTGCTGGAACTTCCTGAGAAAACAAAGCTGGTACAACTATTTCCCAGTTAAGATGTAATTCAGAAGTTACTTCTGGGAGGAACTCGGTAATAGGTTGCAGAACCACCTATTACTTCATAGAATGTGCAAAACAGCTCTTTTCAAGAAAAAGCAGCAATCTCGGATCCCCTCTTGGCCGAAACAATCGCTGTAAGGAACACCGCCTTCAATGTCAAATGCCACATTGAACAAGAATCTGAAGGAAAGAAAGGGGAATCCATTATCTTCTCCAAGACTAGCGGCAAGTCCCATTTTGGTACCATACTCCTGAGAGGAGGCCGAATCTTAATCACTCCTTTCATGAACTGAGCAACTAACAGATCGATAGTCCACTGTACGCCCGTTAAGGCTGATAATGCAGAAATATGCATCTTCAGGGTACGGCAAGGAAGACCCAAATCAAGCCCTTCCTGAAAAAATACTAAAATGCCCGCCATTCCTGAACTTTCTCGAAATTCTCTGAAGTAGGCTGATTTAGTGGAAGGTTTTTGAGATTTTAACAAAGTCTCAATCACAGCCGCAGGCAAATTTTGGACCTCTCACTTCCACCATTCAAGCGCCAGGCCATCAAATTTAGCCTCTTCGGATTTGGATGGAAACCCTGACCCTGCATTAGCAGATCCCTGGACACCGACAGCATGATCGAAAGTGGTTGTAGGACCAGGGCCTCCTCAGCCAACACGGCAGGATGGCAATAGCTTGGACCTTTTCCCACCGGATCTTCTGCAACACCCGAGGAATGAGGACCACAGGGGGAAACACATAGGCCATAGAGAAGTTCCACGGATATAGAAGGGCATCCTGCCCTATCGCCTGAGGATAATGGAACCGGGAGAAGAAATGTTGACACTGAGCATTCAATGGAGTCCCCATGAGGTCTACTTCTGGGGTTCCCCAAAGTGCAAAAATCTGCTGAAGATATTTGCTGTTCAGCTTCCACTCCCCCTGACCTGGGAAAATGACGACTCAAGGAGTCTGTCAGGGCATTCTGCACCCCCGGAAGGTATGCTGCAGTTAAATCAAGAAGATTGGCCTCCGCCCACTGAAAAATATTTTCCGCTATTTGCAGTAGAAAAAGGTTCAGTGTACCTCCTTGATGTGCCAGATAGGCCACCGCCATCCTGTTGTCTAGAAGCATCTTCACTCAGCGACCCGAGATGGCTGGTCGAAAAGCCTCCAAGGCTGCTAACAACTCCAGGTGATTGGATGCCCTCAAAAAAATTTGCTGCCTGCACCTGGACTCCCTGACAATGAGCCCCCAACCCTGGAGACTGGCATCTGACGTAACAATGATCCAGCCCCCAGGATTGAGGAGCCTGCCCAGAGAGAGAATTTTCCTGGAAGTCCACCACTTGAGAGAACTCCTGACCTCTTCGGGAAGAATAGTCTGCCGAAGGGAGCCTCTGTCTAGTTGCTGGAGAAAAAAAAGCTGGAGACTGCGTAAGTGCCAATGAGCCCAAGGAACCACCGGGATGGTCGAGTTCAGTGTTCCCAGGAAGCTCATACAGCACCCGGCTTGCACCGACTTCTGGAACATCTTGTCTTGCGGCAAGAGAACTTTGTTCATCTTCGTGTCGAAAATCACCCCCAGGTAACGGAGAGATTGTGCTGGCCTCAGCTGACTTTTTTGGTAATTCACCAACCATCCAAAACGCTTTAGGGTTTTTAGGACCATGTTCCCATGCTGAATTAAAGTACCCTTCAAGTTCGCGAGAACTAGGTCATCTAAATAATGGTGAAGACGAACACCCCAAAGGTGGAGTAGCGCCACCAGAGATACGAGAACCCTTTTGAAGGTCGGAGGAGCGGTGGCAAGACCGAAAGTGAGACACCTGAATTGAAAATGCAGTCCCTGCATTGCGAATCTCAAATACTTCTGGTGAATCTTGGCCACTGGGATATGTAGATAAGCTTCTGACAGATCTATGGATAGAAGCCAATCTCCCTTCTGAACTACAGATATAATCGTCTCCAGAGACTCCATCTGAAAATGTGTGACTTTTAGAAATGTGTTGAGGTATTTTAGATTTAGGACTGGATGACATTTCCCAGAGGCTTTTCGAACTAAGAAAATAGGAGAATAAACTCCCTCTCTCTCTGAAGCCGGAACCGGACAGACGGCTCTTAAGTCTAACAATTCTTCTGCGCCTGACGTCTTTCCTGATGAGTAAAACTGAAAAACCTCTTGGGAGGTGAGTGCTTGATTTCCAGATGGTAGCCCCTGAGAACTATGCCCCCCGACCCAGGCATAGTCTATTTCGTCCGCCCGCCCAGACCCTCCCAAACAAGGCTAACCTTGCTCTCACAGGGGGGGACGGGGTGGGCAAGAACTCAGAAGGATGTGTCAGGGCCTTTCCTGCCTTAACAGGCTTGGCTTTGACGCTCTAAAAAAGGTACTTTGAGTGCCTCTCCAGGACGACCTGGAGTACTCTCTCCCCGGCTTGTACGAACAGGCATCACACAAAAATTTCCGATATCCTTTCCTTCCTCCTCGAAAGGACGGAGCCCCTCTATCGTGGGGAAGGAGGCCCGATTTTCCGTCAGTATTATGCTGTATTGCCTCTTCCAGAGTTTTCCCAACAAGTGATTTTCCCGTTAATGGAATAGAACAAAGGCCTTGCTTTGATGCTGCATCAGCCGTCCGATGCTTCAACCACAGAGCCCGTCTTGCCGTCACCGATAAGGCCATCAAACGGACCAAGAACCTGACCATATCAACCACTGCTTCTGCGACAAATTCCGCCGATAACTTTAATTCCTCCAAAGCCTTGATGATAGTCTCTTGATGCACCTCTACGTTTCCAAGCCCTAAGGGCACTGGCTACTGACATGAGAGCCACCGAGGGCTTGCAGGGCGCTCCCGCCATGATGTAAATCCTTTTAAGGTCTGTGTCCACCCTGCCGTCCATCTGATCCCTGAATGTCACAGAATCATCCAGCGGAAGGGCCGCATGCCTCGCCAGCAGCTGCAAAACCGCATCCACCTTCAGGGGGAATCCCAAAATTCAGAATCCGGGGGTCGTGGCCGGCATGATGCTGAGCAGACGTGTGTCGGGGAAGCTCCGCTCTAACGTATCATCCTACACTTATCCTGGTGCTGATTGTCCAATTTGACTTACCTTCAGGTGCTCTTCTTAATCTCCTGTGCCTGGACTCTTCTGTTGCGGTCTGTATGTCCCGCAACAAGGTTAAATCAGCTCGTTCGTCAGCTGCCCGGCCTCGTGGTGCTTCGAAGACGGCCATCTTGGCTGTGCTGGCTGAATGCAGCAATATGTCGGGGGGACGCAGATAAGTGGGTTAGCTGAAAAGGCTCCCTTTCCCTCTAGTACTGACATCCCATCGGCCGCTACATCATGCAAAGTGACGCTTACCACAAATATTGATTCTCTGTCAGCTGATGTGGGCTTCCTGCGCCATGATCTGGATAAATTCTGTACGCGTGTGGTGGAGGC